CTTTGATTAACTTTTTTGATCCACTTCAAATGTTGACTACTGTACGTATTTCTGTTAGGGCTATACAAGTTTTAAACGAATCATCAAGATTATGACTGCAGTTGCTGCAAGTAAACTAATAGTAAAAACTCTCAGTTACGGTATTCCATTTAGTCTTATTGTGTCAAATGGCCTAATCATTTAAACAGATTGACTATATCACATATTCAATAGCTGGTGGGTTTTCTGGTCTGTCGAAAGGCCTCTGTCCAGTGTGAATTCTCATGTGTCTCGTAAGGCGCTGTTTCATTGTGAAACTCTTTTCACACTCGGAGCAGGTATAAGGCCTCTCTCCAGTGTGAATTCTCATGTGTCTCTCAAGGTTTTGTCTCATTCTGCAACTCTTTCCACACAGAGGGCAAATGAAAGGCTTTTCTCCAGTGTGAATTCTCATGTGATTCTGAAGGTTTTGTCTCAATCTGCAACCCTTTCCACATTGAGGGCAGACGTAAGGCCTTTCTCCAGTGTGAATTCTCATGTGAACATTAAGATTTTGTCTGTCTCTGAAACTGTTTCCACACTCAGGGCATATGTAAGGTTTCTCTCCAGTGTGAATTCTCATGTGTTTCTCCAGGGGTTGTTTAAAAGCAAAACTCCTTCCACACTCAGGGCAGGTGAAAAGCTTCTCTCCAGTGTGAACTTTCATGTGTTGTTTAAGACTCTTGTTCACAATGAAACTCTTTCCACACTCAGGACAGGTAAAGGGTTTCTCTCCCGTGTGATTTCTCATGTGATATTTAAGGTTTTGTTTCACTGTGAAACCTTTTCCACACTCAGAGCAGGCGAAAGGTTTCTCTCCAGTGTGAATTTTCATGTGTTGTTTAAGGATCTTCTTGATTTTGAAACTCTTTCCACACTCGGAGCAGGTGAAAGGTTTCACTCCAGTGTGAATTTTCATGTGTTGTTTAAGGATCCTCTTCATTTTGAAACTCTTTCCACACTCGGAGCAGGTGAAAGCTTTCTCTTCAGAGTGAATGGTCATGTGGTC